AGTTGAATATAAAGCTGAGAGCTCCAAGGGACGGTAACTGTTATACACTTCAAATTGACTCTAAATCCTCTGAAAACTATTTTATTAGTAAAAAAGAGGAAAGTTGGATTTGGCATAAACGTCTTACACATGTTAACATGAATCAACTTTCAAAATTAACAAAAAGGGATTTAGTTGTCAGTTTACCGAAAATTCAGTATGAACATGATATTATTTGTGATGTCTGTCAGAAAGGTAAACAAACAAAGTCTTCGTTTAAATCAAAGAAGACAGTCTCAACCGAAAGGCCACTCTAAATGCTTCATATGGATTTGGTTGGTCCGTCGAGAGTGAAAAGTTTCGATGGAAACCTGTACACTCTTGTGATAGTTGATGACTATTCAAGATTCACTTGGACTTTGTTTCTTTCCTCTAAAGATGAAATGTTCAATGCATTTATTGTTTTTGCCAAAAAGGTCCAAAATGAGAAAGGTATTTCCATTGTGTCAATCAAGTCTGATCACAGAGGAGAATTTGAGAACAATGAATTCGCATACTACTGTGACGAGCATGGAATTGAGCATACTTTTTCAGCACCAAGAACTCCTCAACAAAACGGTGTCGTTGAACTGAAAAATAGAGTGCTCACTGAAATGGCAAGGGCAATGCTAAATGAGAAAGGAATTTCACAAGTATTCTAGGCAGAAGCAATGAGCACGGCTTGCTACATCTCCAATAGAGCCTACATCAGAACGCTACTCGGGAAAACACCGTATGAGCTATACAAAAGAAGAAAGCCTAACCTAGCTCATTTAAGGATCTTCGAGAGCAAATGCTACATTCACAACAATAACAAAGAGAATCTGGGTAAATTCGATCCTAAAGCTGATGAAGGTTTATTTCTTGGTTACTCTAATCGTAGTAAAGCTTATAGGATTTTCAACAAACGTACTTTTATAATTGAAGAATCAGTTCATGTTGTGTTTGCTGAAACCGAATCGATTTCAAAACCTCTAGATGACAATGCCGAGATCGTTCAAAATTTTCAAAAATTGGAAACAAGTCTTCAAACAAATTACCCTCAAAAGAATATTTAGAAAACAAAAATGATTTAAAAGAATCTTCTTCACAAGAAAATTTAGAGCAGCCTAAGGCTTGGAGACATAATCGAGACCATCCACTGGAACAAGTCATTGGTAAAGTCAATGAAGGGGTCAAAACCCAGAGACAAGTGATCAATGAAGTGCGTTTCTCAGCGTTCATATCCTACATTAAACCTACCAATGTTGACGAGGCCTTATCTGACGAGTTTTGGATAGTCGCAATGCAGGAAGAGCTTAACCAATTCGAAAGAAACCAAGTTTGGGAACTGGTACCTAGACCTAATGATCATCCGGTCATAGGCACCAAATGGGTATTCAAAAATAAGCTCGATGAGTCTGCACAAATTGTCAGAAATAAAGCCAGATTGGTGGCTAAAGGATATAATCAAGAAGAAGGGGTCGATTATGAAGAAACTTATGCTCCAGTAGCTAGATTGGAGGCCATACGGGTACTCTTAGCCTTTGCTTGCATTAAAGATTTCAAACTATATCAAATGGATGTTAAAAGTGCCTTTCTAAATGGATATATTTTAGAAGAAGTTTTTATCGAGCAACCTCCTGGTTTTGAAGATTCAAACTTTCCTGATCACATTTATAAATTGAAAAAGGCTTTGTATGGTTTAAAACAAGCTCCCAAAGCTTGGTATGAACGTCTTGGCAATTTTCTAATAGAAAAAGAATTCGAAAGAGGCAAAGTAGATGCTACTCTATTGATTGAGCTCAAAATATTAATTTCTTTTCATATCATTATCCATGATTTTTGTCATACTTTCTGGTCCTTTTTAATGAAAATTGTGCTTAACTGAGATTTATGGTTCTTACTTTAAGTTAGTGTCATTTTGAGGATTAAATTGTCATAATTGGTTGTTAATTGGATTCAATTAACTTCTAGGACAATTGATACTTCAATTTGTTACTTTTTATTGTAGGACACTAAAGATTTGGGGCCAGAATTGAAGAACTCAAGGCAAAAGAAGCAAGAGAAGACCCTCTGCCTATGTTCGCCGCGGCCAACATCCCACTTCGCCGCGGCGAAAACCCTTCTGCGAAGACAGGTCTCTGCCATGTTTCGCCGCGGCGAACCTATTATTCGCCGTGGCAAACCTCTCGAAGCAGCAAATTCCAGACCCGACCATTTCGGGAAATTTTGACCTACCCATCCCCAAAAACCGACCCATGCACGTAAGTTTCGGGTTAGAAACCCTATTTTGGGTATGATGACTGGAGAGGACATTCATTGAGCCTCCACCTTCGTATCTTTCATCCTCTTCTCTCATTTTCACCTCAGAAACCCTAATCCCATTTCCATTTCTTCCATCTGCTGCTACCATGGCTGAAGAACATTATCTAGTTGGAGTTGGTTCAAGAGTTATGACTAGCTAAGCTTCTCAACTCTTGAATATGGTGGAAGGAGCATGAGTTCCAAGAGCTTCAAAGGGGAGTTAGCTTCATCTATGAGTTCTAGTTCTTTATTTATGAATTTCTAGGTCTAGGATTTGTAAATTTGAGCTAGCTATTTTGATTATGGTTGTAATCAATTCTGGATGATTGTTTTGTGTATTGGATTAGTTAATGTTGAATTTGAGCTTCAATATATGTGGTTACATATATGTTTCTATGCATCCCTTTTGATACTCTCTGTCTTGCATGGTAATGTGTGATTGTTGAGTTGATTTGAGCTTGCATTTAACCAAGTGCATTAATTAATCTTAATACACACACCAAGTGAGCTTAATAGGATCTTATGAAATGGGTGACATTGATTAAGATCCTAGACTTAAAGGGTTCTTTAAGGTTTTCATTAGAAGACTTGGTGATTTCTACTCCCAAAATTATTTTTTGAACTATGATTGCTTCAAAGCTATATTCAAGAGATTTCATATCATTAACTTCACTTCATCACCACTATCTTAGAAAAATCCAAAAACATAGTAACTTAGATCAGTATTCATTGCATTTAGTTTTGGCATTCCATTAATGGCTAAAAACACCAAAAACCCCTTTTTCATTACTCTGCATAGCATTAATCTAACTTAGACATCTAATTTAGGCTCCCAAAAGAGAACGACCCGAGTTTGCTTTACTGCATAGCTTGGATAAATTTTTGAGCGAGAACCTCTAAGCGAACGATAAGAAAAGGCTCTCTTAAGTAGGAAAGATCTTTTGATTGTTCAAATTTATGTGGATGATATTGTTTTCGGAGCTACTAATGAAGATCTTTGTCAAGAGTTTGCTAAGCTAATGCAGGGAGAATTCGAAATGTCTATGATGGGAGAGCTGAATTTCTTTCTGGGATTACAAATCAAGCAGAAGAAAAATGGCATATTTATATCCCAGACGAAGTATCTGAAGGAGTTGCTAAAGAAATATGGATTAGAAAATGCCAAAAGTGTAAAAATCTAATGAGCTCAACCATCTCGCTAGACGCAGACGAAAACGGTAAGGACGTGAATCTGACCGGATATAAAGGAATGATTGGTTCATTTCTATATCTCATGGCTAGTAGACCAGATATACAATTCAGTGTGGGAATGTGGGCAAGATATCAATCAGCTCCAAAAGAGTCACAGGAAGAAGCCGTCAAGAGAATTCTCAGATACCTTGTCGAAAGTTAAAATCTAGGAATCTGGTATCCAAATAAGGGAGCAGAATACCTAATGAGATACTCAGATGCAGATCATGGAGGATATAAGACAGATAAAAAAAGCACCAGTAGACAATGTCAATTTTTCAGAGGATGCCTTGTCTCGTGGTCAAGCAAAAAGCAGAATACTGTGGCAATCTCCTCAACAGAATCAAAATATGTGGCCACTGCAAGTTGTTGTGCTCAGATTCTATGGTCAAAGCAACAACTACAAGATCTAGGAATCAACTTACGAGACATTCCAATCCTATGTGATAACATGAGTATGATAAGCCTGTCCAAGAATCCAGTCCATCATGCCTGAACTAAGCACATCGATGTTCGACATCATTTCATTCGAGATCATGTTCAAAAGAAAGATGTGAAGGTAGAATTCATCCCCACTGAATATCAAATAGCCGACATCTTCACAAAGCCTTTAGATCAACAGAAGTTCAACTTCTTTTGAAGAGAATTGGGAATGGTAAATCCCAATAAGTTGTAAGAAATCTCACCTTATCTCTTAAATTTCAATATTTAAATTTAATGGTTTGATGATTAAATAACTAACTTAAGCATCAGAGTGGATAGAAATTTGTTTTGTAGGAAGCTCTGTTTTGTCGAAGAAAAATAAAGGTAAACAGAGTATGGAATGATCAAACAAGAGATCGATAATCATGAAGTCACATAGAAGTAATTTATCGATCACCTGATCGATAAATACAGCATGTGTAGAAAATGGAGAGATTCAGAACGATGATTATCAATAAGCTGATCAATAAATGGATTATCGATTAGAACATCGATCAGGAGCGGCAAGTTTTTTGTGACATATACTCAAATCTTGGTAAGCATTAATCGATAAGCTGATCGATAAACGGATTATCGATCAAATGATCGATAAAAAGACCAGGTACGCATTTTCTCTACTAACTTTATTGATAACATGTTCGATAATTGATTGTTCGATAACGTGATCGATAATTGCCTTCAGTGTTCTTATGTGTTCTTTATATTTATCGAACACGTGATCGATCATCCAATGATCAATAACATGATCAATAATTTTGAACTTTATAATGTTGAAAGTTTTGAAAACCCCCGTCAGTTATCAAACCCTAACTCGATCAAAACCGCTCCCTTGTTTCTAGCAACGGTCCAAAAATCACTATTCCATTAAATTTCCAGTCACCCATCCACTCGAATCCCACTCTACCACCTTTTCGACTACCACCAACCTCAAAACACCTACTTCCAACTGATTATTCTCTCTGAATTCTGTCGGTTCATCGGAAATGGCGCGGGTAAAACAGCCGAATGTGGAAAGGGAAGAAGGCTTGGAGAAGCAAGTCCAATCAAGCGACACTACTCCCTCGGGCACTCGGAAGCGATATAGACCAAAAGTGAGGGAAGAATCATCCAAGAAGTGAGGTGTTCTAAAAATCTGAGAAAGTCAGACCGAAAAGCAACCGGCTCTTCCAAGAAAATCTCCCCGGTCCAAATCTAAGCTGCTGGTAGTTACTGAGGAATCAGAAACCGAGTCAGATGATAGAGCCTTAGTTCAGAAAGCTGTGGAGACCGCATTGAGAATTCCCATTCCCAAGCAACTGAGGCAGAAAAAGCAGAGAGCCAGTGAAGGGATCACACGGCAAATTCCCTCTAAAAGTATTCCATCTGATTTCTCTGAATTACTAGTTGGAAACCTTGATAAGGAAGTAAATTCGGCTAAGTTTAAGGCTGATTTTGCAAACTAGAGATTTTGCCTTGTTGTTTCTGTGGATATAGAGAGCTTAAAGAAAAATACTTAGATTAATTTGGACTTGAGTGATCCCCTGGAATATTATTCAAACTGGCTGATAATTGGTGGAGAATTTTGTCCTGAAGTGATTAAAAGGTTCTACTGTAACATGGAATCAGTAGAAGAATATGATGAGCAGGACAATCTGGTAAATGACTATTTAAGGGTTAAATTTAGAGGTAGAACCTTCCACCTTATTACTGATAAGATTAATGAGTTGTTGGGAACTCAAGATTCGGTGAGGGGGGAGATATGAATGAAATTAAGGCCTATAAGATTTTGATGCAAAGTGATGAGTACCCCGATGAGCTAAATTTCCCTCCTAAATAGATGTGTGATTATTATAGAATAATCCACTATATCTATTCAAGAAGTATGATAAACAAATTTGGGAGCTTCCCACACTTAACCCAAGATGATTACTTGTTACTGGCCCGAATAATCAGTGGAGAAAGGATTAATATAGGGGCTTTGATCTATAATGAGATGAAGGATTTTGTTCTCAACAAATCCAAGTCTACACCAATCCCCTATCCTCAATTGGCCACATACATCCTACAGGCAAACAACATTGCCCCCTTTGAGCCTGGAGAGTCCAAGACCAAGGTTCCTGCTTTTGGGATTACACAGCTGCACAAGATGAGGATTCCTCTACCTTTCAGACCATCTCAAAAGGTACCTCAGAAAGACAAGGGGAAGCAACTAGTTGTCAGCACCTCTAGGACTCAGGATGAGGCCGAATCCACTGCAGCTCCTTCTCATGCCCCTGGACCTTCATTCATGGAGAGATCTCTCAGGGAGATGTTTCAGGCCGAGCTTCAAGAGTTTGAAAAGAGAGTTTATGTCACTGCTCGAGAATACGGGGAAGTCTCAGATAGAAAGTTTGAGGGTATTTCCAAAATCCTAGATCTTCACAGACAAGCAATGATGGTTTTGGAAAAGGAGGTGCCTCAGAGATTTGATTATGTTGACAGAGAAATTCAAGAGCTCAAAAGGGATGGAAGCCTCTCTCTGTAACAACTTCTTTGCCCCCAGTACTACCTTCAGCTTTGAGGACCTACTTCATCATCCCCCATCTCCTCCTCATCATAAGCCTGGACCTTCTACCTCTATTATACCCCCTTCTCCATCTGTACCATCTACCTCTCCCACTCCCTCTCCTACTTTGGCCCTGATCACTGTTCCCCAGCCAGTTCCCTCCATTCATATTCCATCACTCTCTCCACTTTCTCACTTTCCCCCTCTTCCTATTCCCCTGTCCATTCCACCTGTGTCTACTTCTTCCTCTTCCCCACCTGATGCTGACAAAAAGGGGGAGAAAAATTCTGATTCTTAGAGTCCTTTTTTTTGTGTTTTTATTGATGTTTAGCTATGTGCTCTGAGTTTACTATGTTTTACTGATGTATTTTTTATAGTTGATTTTACTATTTTGACAGTTGATTTTACTTCAATCTATCTACTGCTTAATTTTACTGTTTCTGATGTTATTTGATTAATAGTCCTTACCTATGTTTTGTCATCATCAAAAAGGGGGAGAATGTTAGGTTTAAGGTTTTGATAATAACAAAGTGAGTAATTTGTGATTCAGTATGGTGATCGATCATCTGATCGATCAAGATTTTATCGATAAGCTGATAGATAATAACTCTATCAAATTACGTAAACTCAGCAAAAACTTTGATCGATAACGTGTTAGATAATGTGTTGATTGATCATTTGATCGATCATTCTTAGTTGCACATGAAAATCTGGGACAAATTATCAATCACTTGATCGATAATCAGAAATACAAAATTAATAGGTGCTTATTGATCACATGATCGATAAACCGGTTATCGATGAGAAGACAGATAAATGGTAATGTACTTTACTCATTCTATGTTTTGTTTTTATCACCATTTATTGATCACATTATCGATCAGCTATTTATCGATAATATGATCGAACATTGCCTCATAACTCTTAGTGCAGGAATTTATTTCGGCTTATCGATCACCTGATTGATAAGAACATTATCAATCACATGATCGATAATCAACATAACTCTGTCTCATCGTGGCTCTTCGATCACCAGATCGATAATCAGATTATCGATAATCTTATCGATAACCACTCTTCATGTTTACGTTGTTTTCACATAACTTGATCGATAAATTAGCTCTTTTGTTTTACAAGAAAAGACCTCTTTATCGATAACCTTATCGATCATCTATTCGATCAACTTGCATAGTCTGTGTTTTCATAAAATATACTTTTGTCTACTGTTTATCGATAAGGTTATCCATCATCTATTTATCGATAAAGTGTTCGATAATCAGTGTTTCAAAAGTCATTTCTATAACACTCTATTTATCGATAATCTGATCGATCAACAAGTGTTCGATCACTTGTTCGATTATGAGGGGATTTTAGTTTAAACCTTAAGTCTCGATGTTTCTCAAAATTTATCATATATTTCATTCAAGCTTTTCTCAGCCTTCTTAAGTATCTTGTTTCACTATTTAAAGAATGTCAAAATCAAAAGCAACCTTGATCTTCATTGTCTATGCATCATAGTATGATATCACTTTTTTCCCTTTATCGATCACCTGATCGATAAACTAATAATCCATAACTTGATCGATAATCTTAGTTCTCTGGTTTAAAGTCTTCACTTAGAAATAATCGATAACCTGATCGATCAAGTAATAATCGAACAACACTTCGATCAAGCATGTTCAGTTACTACCCAGTGCATTTGATATTGATTCTAATCATAAGCTATGAATATGCGATTATCAGTTGGTCAAATTTACTCTTAATCTCATTCTACAAAGAATAAACTTATTGAACTAATATATTTTTGCAGATTACGAAAAAAATCCCAATAGCACTCCAACGGTTGTCCAAGTAGTCTGTAACTTACCTTGTCAGAAGCATGAATGGCAGAAACCGTTGCAACTGGAAAAACACGCAATCAGACTTACAACGGCTAGAAGCTCTTTCATCTAACGGTTACTAAACGACCTCAACTATAAAAGGCATGAAAAAGCATTAATGAACAGAATTGGATACGCGAGCTACCCTCTGTTGATTTTTACTGTTGCATTCAATACTCTGTTCTTTCATAACTCTGAGCATTAGTAATTATCATTTATTCACTCTGTAAGAGAGTTTATTTACTACTCATTAATCACGTTTGTATGATACTCAAGGGTGTGGACTCTTGAGTGGGGCTGTAACCTTACGAGAAGTAAGGGGTAGTGATTGAGAGCTTCAATTATTGTACTGAGGCGCTAAGAGCCCGATCAATCTTAGAACATAGTGAAATACTCGGAGGTGTTCTGAGGACTGGACGTAGGTCAAGTGGTTTAGACCGAACCAGTATAAATCTTGTGTCTTCCTTTCTACAGTGAAATCACTCTAAACTCATACTCTCTGTTTCTGATAATTCTTTGTTTTAATTTCATAAATTTTTATAACTCACCCAATTCACCTCCTCTTGGGTGAGACTGCCACTAACAAAGTATGCTCCTACTGAAAAGGAAAGTAGAGGAAAGAGAAGTTGTAAATCCTCTCTCTATAACGTTCTAGAATAGTAAGAGATGGTAAGAGCAGCTGGAGGAATAAGAGAACTCCTAAGACAGATTGGCTTAGGCACCTAAAGAGATAAAAAGGCGTCCTAGGGAATTGACAGAAAGTCTAAGAGAATGGTAATGGTTCTTGGAACAGTTTTGGGGAATTATCAGTTAGGTGACCAACTGAGAGGAGGTGACTATATTTAGTCTTATGATCAAAAGTCTCCAAGAGATCTTAAGAGTATGGTACTACTTTGGGAAGATAAGGACCAAGGATGAGTTGAGGATGTGGAAACCTCCTTCGGTTGTAAACCGATGCCGAGAGAGTACCCACGACTTCCTTCTATAAAACCTTATCATTAATTAGACTGGATTCAAATTCCTTCTGATTAATAGAGGAAAGCCAAAGTTAGAGGAGTTAGAGCCATAAGACCTGAAAAAGAAACATTCAAGCTAGCTCTAGATACAGGAAGAACCCATGCGATACAGAGACTGTCACATCCAGTAATATGGCAATTAGGAGTAAGGATATTCCTAAATATTTAAAGGCCAAAAATGACAAGGAGAAATAGAAGAATTTTGGTGGAAAATAATTATTATAATTTTCCAAGCTAATTATGAAAAGTTTGACTAATTAAGGAAAATTGGTCAAGAATAATTATGGAAAAATAATTCTGAGTCTCAGAAAATTAAGAAAAAATAAGAAAAATGTTCCTTGAGAATTATATGAGATTATAAAATTGGTTTTATGACCAATTTGCCCTTAGAGAAATTACAAAGGAATTTAAGGGCAATTTAAGCTAGTTTAAGGTCTTTATTTAGAAAATTACAAATAAATAATTTTAAGAAGAATAAAATCTCAAGAAAATTCCTATGATATCCTAAGGAATTATAAGAGATTATGAAATTAAAATAAGACCCTCAAATGTCCAAGATTTTTCCCAATTCCTCTGAAAAGTGGAAAAATCACTAAAGAGAAGAAAATTAGTTTTCCATTTTATTTAATTATTGGGAAATTAATTTTGGGATGAAGAGGGCAATTTGGAAAGATAAAAATGAGGAGAATAATTTATGGATCTGAAAGAAAATATTTACAGAGGCCAGAGTACTGTAATTATAGAAAAGAAGTTAAACCCGGAGTAAAAGTGCACTGATAAAGCATGAAGTAGAGTCTTGCACTTTGCTTGGCCCACAAGTTGCCACTTGTCAAGCCTTTAATGGATGGTAATTAAAGCTTTCCAAGTGTCAAGTTACCAAATGAGAGGATCTTGACTTTGGAATTTAATTACATTATGATTTAAGTTAATTAAGAGAGAGGATTAAGACTAATTAGGCTCTTGACACATGGCATATCATTAATGATGGTTGGTGGGATATTTTGTGAGCATTAATAAGCTTTTCCTCCCCAATAATCAGACCTCATTTCGTGCTAAAGGGAAAAGGGAGAGAGCAAGAGTGATTTTGTGAAGAGATCAAGCGAAAACAAGCATATTTGACCTTCTAACTAAGATCCAAGCTTGGTAAGTTGTCTTAAGATGTTACTTGCTTTGTTTTATTGATTTGTATGGTTGGAAAAATCACTTCTTTTCCCTTCTTGTTGCTGGCCGAAATGGGTATAGTGTAGGGAAGGAGATTTTGTTGTTAAACATAGTTAGAACACTATGATTTAAGATGGTTTCAAGTGGTTTAGTGTTGTTTTCAACCAAGACAAAAACTGAACCCTAGGATGTGTTTTCCAAATTTTTTAGACTTCCATTGTATTCAAAATGAAAAATAGTGTAGGGTAAACCTTAAGAACAAGTGTTGGAAGCCATAGAATCCAAGTTGCAATTTTTGGGTTTTGAACGCTAATGGTTCGGCCAAGCTGAAACTGAAGGAAGAAATTTATTTTGTTAAATCCAAGTAGATATTTGGAATCTACATGAAAAATCATGTAGGTTTGAGTCAAGAAGGAATTTTTAGGGTTTATGGAAACCAACTCTAAAAATTCAAGAACAAAGATGGAAGCTTTAAGAGGTTTAGGAGTTACTTGAGTTATGTTATTGATTTTATGAGGAATGGTTGATGATTCTTGTTGCCCTTTTATGGATTGCCATGTTAGGGTTTGGCACTTGTGGAAGCAAGAAGGAACAACAATAAAAACAAAAAGCATTGGATCAAGATAGTGGGATCTAATTAGCCATTAATGTTAACTTTGCATTGTTATTTATGGCATGTATGCTTGCTATTATATGGTTGAACTATGATATTGTGATATGGTTACTCCTTGCATTTGTTGCCATGGCCTTGCATGTTGAGGTTGCCTATTTATAAAAAGATTAGTTCTCCTATGATAGCTAATGTTGAAAGGCTTTATAATGATGCATGTTAATGTTTTGGTTGATTTATCTTGCTACTGGGATTTCTTAAAACGTCATCCCCCAAATATAATCTAACATTTTAGGGCTTGAAACTCCTATGAGCAAGCTGTAGATTGGAGACTAAAGTATGGTGTCTTGCCATAAAATTCGTGGACCCTTTTTGGTTATGTATATATTAAGCTAATAGTGCTGTAAGCACACTAACACTGCCATATTCACGTGACTTTTTGATTATGGTTCTGAATGTTTTTAATCACTAATTTTGGCATGATTATAGATAACATCTTGAGCTTCAATTTGATAGCTAATACATTAAAAATAGCCAAGTATACGAATTTTAATGATTTTGTAAAGTTAAAGTTTAGAATCTGGGAAAAAGGGTTTTTGGCAAATGGACAGTGTTGCATATCACAACAACC